ACCTAACACATGATTGCATTTCATTAATCTGCTTATTTGCTTGCTATTTTTTTTTTAATGCTATTTTTCTTAAGATAACAAAGGCTTTATGACTGGTGGAGGGGAGATAAAGCATTGCTTTGTCTGTATGAGCCATGGTGTGTTAGGACCAGGAAAAGACTAGTACCAAACTGAATGTCTTTAGTTCTTTTGGGTGCTCTTCATTTTGGATGCTTTGGGGAGGAATAGCCTAAACAAGCCATGAGCAGAATTGTTTAAATGATCTGAATGGGGTGAAAGGTTTAAATACAGTGCTCTGCTACTTTAACCCAGTAATTCAGAGAATGCTTAATGCTATCAACTTAATTACAGCATTGCTGTCAGGAGGAGGTGGCTCTGTGGCAGGATGGAAACTGACAGTCTTCTAAGATATGTCTGTCTAATACATAAATCATATTTTTTCCTTATTCGAGACCATTCTTTGCTCAGAAACGAAGGGGCGAGGGGAGAGGGAATTGTAGAAACAGAAGTTCATCAGCTCAGAAAGCTGTTTCCTTCTTACCCGTGTGATGGGAGTAGAAAGCAAAAGAGAATAAGGAAAGATCTTTTCCTGATATTTTTAGTTGTAGTCATTAGTCCTTTTTTTACGAATTTCTTCTCAGAAAGATGGCATGATTTTAGCTGCTGGGCTACAGCACTGAGAAGAAGGTTTATTGGTATCTTTTTCCCCCACTGGCCTTGATCGCAATTGGTTTGCTTTTCTGCTTGCAGTGACACACACAGCTAGCTGATAGCAGGAGGGAAAAGGACAGAGGCAGAAGGACAGATAGCGTTACAGTTTTAACACTTCACTGCTTGCATTGGCCTTTCTGAAAATTTAGACTGCTGGGGCAGTCGGGGTCATGAGTGTTTTGGAGCAACATGGTTGCAAGCGAGCACAGTCATGCTGATGGCAGATGGGGCCTGGGCCACATGCCCTCCATGCCATGAATAAATAAGCTTACAGGAGGGAAGATGATGCCACATAAGGACGTGCAAGATCTGACATAGGGCATTGGCTGAATGGTGAACCATGCTAAGCCTTTTGCTTTCCATTATTGAACTGATGCTTCTCCCTCCTCAGATGCTCTGCCTTTTTCTTCTGTGGTAGAACTTCTCCGGTGAATTACATTGAAGGCAACCCATTTTATGAGAGGGAGGGGAGGAATTTAAGAGATTACTTCTGGAACTTTGAAAACGAGACTGCTTTCTCTTATCAGAAATATGAATTCACTTAAGAGCTTCACTGGGTCTCAGAAACTATTTCCCGTCTCAAACCAGTTCTGCTGGATGCACAAGAATGAGCCATAAAGGAGCTGTATGTGTTAAGGTAATCTGTTTTGATGGCAAATATCCTTGATTAACTATTCCACAGGTATATCCTTGCTGCCTGGCTTCCATTTTTTTCACGTGCTTGGAGATCCTGACAGGGAATGCAGTTTTCTTAATGGTGCTTCTTTCTTGAGCATTCACAGTTTGACAGTGACTTTTT